CTCTCTGTTTAGACTATTCGCCTTCCGGTTATATTTTAAGAAAAAGTAGCAGTGGACTCTTTGGGCAGAAAGGAAATAGGCAACATATGTTAAAGAAGACAATTAGTAGTTCATGCAGATTTTTTAAAATTTTAACAGTTTTTTTTTCAGCTGGAAATAACTGCTGGAAAGTTTTATGGTTGAAAATGAGGCCGTTATACTTAAGCGTACTTCTATTTCTGTTAACTACCTTTAATTTTTGTATTCAGACGTTTTTATCCCTGTTGATTCATCCGTGATGACCCTCGAATTACCGTTAAAAAAATGGTAATTCTTGGGTATGCAATTCTTTTTTACTTTTTTTGCCATTCTGCAGTAGTAAACTCCTGACATGCCGAGAAGTAATGGTTTGAAGGCAGCTTTTAGGTGAAGTGGCATTCTTGATTGATTTTTGGTGCCATTAGACTACCGTAACTAACATGTGGGACAGACGGTACACCAGCCGAACATAGACAACAGTTCATGCGCAAATAATGCCATTATGTCAGTTTGGCCGATAACAGAGATGCTGTGTTTGTCGTTTGGTGGTTTTTGATTAGATAATCAAGACCAAACACTGTGCCAACGTTGAAAGTGTTTGAAGAGGGGACTTTGCGCTTTATGGCCAGAAAAAATTTTCAGTACAGTGTTCAGGCAATCTTTGCCCAGACGCCGCTCTCTGTCCAACTCTTCTAAAGGTTTTACTTTACCGTACTCCACATTTCGTTGCTCAAATTGTATTTCACCAGTCTGGATCCTTGTTAGCTACGAATAGATCTCTGTAATTCAGTCCGAATAAGCTTAAGTGGTGGATCCGCCGCATCTGCATCTAGTGAGAGTGCGGTGCATCACCTTATTGGATCTGTGAGTGTAAAGCTACTTTCCAGTGATGTTACTCCGAAATTTAATAACCGCAACGGGAACTAAGTGAGCAAAAGTTCTCTTGCAGCCTAGTTTCTAACGCGTGGTTTCCTTGCTGGAAATTGTGCAAAAACGATTGCAACAATGGTAAACATAATTTTTTGAAAACAGATTCTTGAACTGATGTTTCACTAACTTCCAAAAAACCAAAACCTGCTGGTGCACTGCACATTGTGGAATGTATGACTGTTGTCGCCTCCTCAAGTTGCGGCTTACTCAAGAGCAAGTTTCTGTCTTACTTCACTGACTATTTTTGATGACGTGTTGTTCAGCAACGTTTGTGAATTGTTCGCACCCAAGGTTGCCAGGGATCGAATTTTTTAAAATTTTGTCAAGGATTGCCAACGAGGTTTGGTTTGTTTGTCCGCCTTTGTGTGCGTGAACGATTGGGGGGCGCCAGGTCTTGAGAGCCTGATGCGAAGAACGTTTCCGAACCTTGTGCACACACAGTTTTTTTCGTCTGCAACTGTAATTGTTAACTAGAAGTTCCTAATGTTACTTTGGTTTGATGGACATTTTAAATTTGGAGTTGTATTGATCTTTCGAAGCCCATCACTTTCATTACACCTTCGATCATTTCTTTTTTGAACTGGTGTGTGATAACAACTTCTGTGGCTAAAATGTTTCTGAAGTCAATGAAAAAGGAAAGAATTAAGTAGGAGGTACCTGAGTGCTTTGTATTATAATTTTTCTGTTGAAGAATATCGATTTTGAAGAACCGATGTGGGGTTTAGTCAGTCATTAGATTTTGACTATCATTTTTGTTATTCGTTTTTACAGTAGCTTTTGAAAACTTGTGTTACCTTGATCAGAATCACTTCCTACATGTATAGGAAATAGTTTTGGAAGTGTTTTCTTGTAGTACTTGTATACTAGTGCATCTACTAAAACAGGGAACATTTCGAGGGTTATGGATTCCGTAACAGCTATACGATGGCGGAGGGGACATACATCCGCACTTCACAGGCTGTTGTGCAAGTAACAATCGCTGTTGAAAACTATCCAGCCGTAGCCAGCAACTACATTGACCATTTGGCTGAAATAAAAGAAGTGTTCAAACTTACATTAAGAAGAAATCCAGATCAAACAATTTTAAGGGTTGAAATCAGGAATTTGATTTCGGTTTTCTTTCGAAATTTGGCCAGAGCTTTGGAAGAAGTATTCCAACGCATTGTCCAACTTCTTGTATGTTTGTTCATGTTGATTTTTATTTATTTATTTATTTTTTTCTTTTGACGAACTGAACAGAAAGTTTCTGAAATCTAAGGGATGCATCGTTTTTTTTTTTTTCTGTTTTGGCTGCGGTTTCAGCTCAGGTTGAAATTGTGTGCGTAACGTTCTGGTATATTTATTAATGAACGGAAATGGTTCTTTAGCATTTTGATGCGGATGTCCAGGCTTATCTCTAATAGGTCTGTAACGGGACGGAGTTGTTTTCTATTCTTTAGGTTCTACTAGTTTGTTCACCTCTGTTTTGTTTATCGTCTTTTACAACTTTGAAGTTTTGGTATTCGTCAGTTTTCACTTATTGTTACCAGAGCAGTCATGGCTTTGTTACTCCGTTGCTGTCTCTTCAGAAATGAACAGGAGGTGTTCACAAACTAGAGGTTTCTTATGAAGGGAGGAGGCGTGGACAAGTGCCGGGCTTTGCGAGATTTTGAAGGGTCGCTTTTTAATTCTTGGTGTGCCTTTCGTACTTTTTTTCTTGTCCCAGCATTCAAGCTGTCCAAAAAAGTTTTTTCTGCAGAAACTTGTAATCGTAAATTTGCTGTCTTAACATCACGTTTGTAACTTATGGCTTTTGAAGAAATTGGAAACTTGCTTTGTAGTCAAATTCATTGCGGATGCTAGGGTGTTTTTCAATCCTCCATGCTTGTGTATTGTTGCCAACAAATTGATTCACTGGTTTTGCACAGCTGGTACCACTTTACTATTTTTTAGTTCGGCAAAGTTTATAAAATCTGTTTCTTGAAGGTGGTGCATATTTTTGCTCTAAAAAAAAGTTGGGAACGATTTGAGGGGTTTTAAAATTGTATAGGGGAGGTGCAAGTTCAGAAAATGTGCGAAATCACTTCTGTAGTCCTGCTACTTGTGGTTTTCACTATTTCCATATGCGTTTGCCTTTTTTACATCTTTCATTACGTATCTTATCGTATTTGTTCGGCCTTCAATGGCGTTAACTGTAGGTGTCTTGACGTGTTTTTACGTTTAGGCCAAAAGGGAGCCGATGTCAATGCAAAGGACAGAATTGAGTAAGCATTGGATTGGGATTGTTTACTGAGGCGGGACGGAGCCAATGTTAGTTGTCTTGATGTCCTCTTTTGCTACAGTCTTACCTGATCTCATTATTACTATTATGGATATTACTGAAATAGTCTGATTGGTGCAGATTTTGACGCTTTTTTGTATTTTTACTTCTGTTCTAAAGATCTCTGTATAACGCCATTCTTTTAAACAGAAATAATGGTGTGGAGTATTAATTGGGGAAACAGCAGACGTGAATGCAAAGGACAGCATTTTGGTGAGCATTTTTTTGAAAATTTGTTGTTTTGGTACTTTGCACTATTTTGTTTTTTTGTGCCGATTTTATAACTTTAAGGTGGGGTTTCTTACAAAAGCAGAAGCTTTGCTACTGCCTTTTGCCTGGGTTAGGATTTCGCTTTTATCAGTGCAGGAAGTATCGGAATAGTTAAACAAAATCAAGTTTAAACATTCTTTCACCTTCTCTATCGTATACTGGAAAATTTGATGTGGTGAGATCTCTGGTCGGGGACATAGTTAGAGCTGGTGCTAAAGGTAGAGTGAAATAAGCACTCATTGGAAAGCAACACGTATTTTTATAAATCCTTGTTTATATGTTATTCTATACTTAGTTGAGTTACGTCTTCAATGAAGTTTCTTTATACGTTCAATTGGGATTGAGCGACATCGTACAAGTTATTTTAGCCTGACTCACAACGGTCAATATTTTTGAAGGGCGGCACATGATGAATTGTTTAGTGAATTATAACGGGGAGGGTCAGTGCAACGAATACGATTTTGGTAAAAGTTTAGCCAACAGCCAGTAATTCTGTTGGTTGCTCTTAACGTACTATTGATCATTTTGTCTTTTACGTAAACCGAAAAGTTCTGACGCGATATGACAAAAATAGTGCCAGTTGTACCGTCTCAATTTAATTTACCCTTTTTTGACCTCAATGCATGGCTTTCTAGAGAAGTTGACTGTTTCAAACATTTTTTTTGACTTCAGCACCTTCCATATGTCGTCACATCAGAGAATGGGCACATCGACGTGGTGAGGTATTTAATGGAAAGCGGAGTCGTCATCAGAACAAAGAATAGGAATTGGGTAAGGCTTTGCTTTAGGAGTAGCAAACACATTCTGATTTTGCTTTTTCTCTCTGGGGCCTGAGTGTGCGAGGAGCATTCTCTTTGCATTTTAGCAGGAACTGTAGTAAATTTCGTCTCGTTGCAAGATCATTGAAAACTCCCAAATTTATGCTTCTGCATTTCTAGTTACTGTTTTAGTAACTGGAAGCTTTAGACTTGAATGCATTTGTATATACATTTTCTTTGCTTGGGGGGCTCCGCATGGGACCTTATCGCTGGGAAGGCACATCAATGTGGTGAAGTATTTGGTGGAGAAGGGACCCGACATTAATGAAGAGGACATGATTTTTTTAAGAATTAGTACTGGTATTTCGCAACGCTCCTTTCATTCCGTTTTAAAACCCAGTCATAGTCAGGTTTTTCATAGGAGTTTGGCAGAAGCCCTCTTGATGTTGCCGATTTGAATGCTGCAGAATTTATTGACGCAAATAGTTTGCTTGGTCTGCAGATGTGGATTCCTAAGCTTTTTGTGTTTTACTTTTTATTGCTTTAAGGGCACTCATTGATTGCCGCTTTCTCGAACGGGCGCATCGAAGTGGTGAAGCTTCTGATGGAAAATGGGGCCGACGTCAATGCGGAGAGCGTAGACTGAGTAAGGCTTTGTTGTTCTTGTTTTGATTTCGGTCTCGTTGATTTACATCGCTGCTGTGGGCCTTCATCAGGGCACTGTGGGCGTACTGCTGTTTTTTCTCTTTTTGTTATTTTTTAAAGCTTTGCTTGACATCTGGCTTTGCTGGTGCAAATCCTAGTAGGGTAATCTGAAAAGTCCATTTTTTTAATGCATTTTATATAATTCCAGAGTCCTTCGTTGGTTATGGCCTCCTCGAATAGGCAAATCAACATGCCGAAGTTTATACTTGAGAGGGGGCAGACGTCAATGCAAAGAACGTAGATAAGGCAAGCTTCTGTTGTTCTCGTTTTACTTTCTGTTTGTCGTCTTTTTTTCATATTTATGGTTCCTTTTGAAATTTTATGAGCATTTTATTGCTTTTGCTGCTCTTCTCGTGATGTAGTTCTAGTTCTATTGGTTAGAAAGTCTCAGGGCAATTCAGAATGTCTAGTATTTCAGTGGCCCCCTAGTTTATATAATCCCTCATTGTTTACGGCTGTGGACGGGCACATTGACGTGGTGAAACTTTTGGTCGAAAGCGGGGCCGACGTCGATGCAAAGGACGTAGGTTGGGTGTAGTTTTATTGTTATTGATCTCCGGTTGTCTACATCTGTACTGAAGGATATCATCAGAATTCGATAAAAATGCTGCTTTTCTTCTGTTTTTCAAACCATGCAGTATTTCTCTTTTTGCTGGCTCAAATACTCTCAGTACAATTTGAGGAATTCAGATTTGATTCTTAGCTGTTATTCATTGTTCTAGAGGTCCGCATTGATCACGGCCTCCATCGGAAACGTCGACATGGTAAGTTTTGGTTGAGAACGGAGCCGACGTGAATGCGAAGGACGTAGATTGGGTATATTTTTATTGCTCGCTTTTTACTTTCTTTTCTGTAACTACATCTTTACCGACGATTCTGATCCGAATATGGGGAACTTATAATTGGTTTTTTCCTTGTTACTGTTTCTTAGGCTATACTAGATTTACACTTCTGCTCGCCCGCCCACTGTTAGAACAGGTTTTAGAGGTATGATTTTTCCATCAAGCTCGTTATAGTTTCAGAGGCCGTTGTTGATTGAAACTTTATCGGACGGGCACATAGATGTGGCAAACTTTTTGGCCTAAAATGAGCCGACCTGAATGTGAAGGTCGCGTATTAGGTGAGTTTACGTCTTGAGAGGCATATTTTTTGCATTTTTTTTTCTGCTCCTGTTCTACTTCTAGTCTTGTTATTGGAATTTGCTTCGAGAATTTCCATTGGAATATGACACCTGTGTTGTTGGTTTTCTTGTTGTTGATGATCTTTTTAGTTTCTCTGAATTCTACTTTTATTGGCGAAGTGGTCATCCTGATCCTGCAGGTTTAGATTTTCAAACTTTTATATTGGGTTTTTTTAATTGCTTTAGGAGCTCTCCTTTTACTTCTACCAGATTTAACGGGCACATCGAAGTGGTCAAATATCTCGTTGAAAACGGCGCCGATGTGAATGTGAAGAACGTGAATTGGGTGAGTGTCCATTTAAAGATTCATAACATTTGCTTATTTCTTTGTACCTGTTTTTACTTTCCGCCTTTTTGATCTATATCTTTGCTGAGGTTTTTCACCGGTATTTGGTTAGATCAGAACTGATCTCTGTGGTATTGCTCTTGACTACACCTTGCAAAGTTTTCGCGTTTGCTAACGCGAATACTGTTTAGGTAACCATGCTTAGGTTCTTATTTTTCTTTTTTATTGTCGTTTGGTTCAGAGGCCCTCGTTGATTGCTGCCTTATCGGACGGGCAAATCGAAGTGGTGAAGTTTTTGGTCGAAGTCGTGGCAGACATCAATAAGCGGAACGCCGGACGGGTAAGTTTACATTCAAAAAGTTGTCTGCTTGCTTGCTGCTGTTCTACTTTTGATTTCGCCGTCGAAGTGTGCTTTGAGGAGGTCCACATTTATTTGTACTGGGTTTAACGGCCAAACTGATGTAGTAAATTATTCAGTTAAGAACAGTTGAGGCTTTGCTGCGAAAGTGCGAGGTAAGTGTAATTTAAAGGAGTCGTGGCATTTCTGTATTTCTTTGTTTTCAAAGTCTAAGGGTGACATCGGTAGTTCTCTCGGTAGTGGCGGATTTTTAGCTGTTGTCATGCTCGTACTTATTCAGGTAACGTTGAGAAAAGTTGTAGGACTTAAACTTTTGAGCCTCCTCTGTTACAGTTTCTGTTTCTTAAGGGCTCTAAGTTATCTTCATTGAGCTTAACGGGCACGTCGATATTTTAGGGTATTTAATCGAGAACGGCGCCGACATCAATGCGAACGTGCGGAATGAGTAAGTACAAGTTGAAAGAATTGTAGTACTTACGTGTTCCTTGATTCTTGCTTTGACCTCGAGTTCTCTTGACAAGATCTCTTTTAAAAATGGAGTACGAGATGTGGGAGATGACTAATAGGATATCTTTTAAGAATGAAGTTTGAGATGTGGGAGTAACTTAAGCGGCTTGGTATTGGCGAAATAGAGGGTATTGCCATGTTTGTGCCTCTGAAAATGTCTGGTTTAGACTTTTGATCCTTTTGTGCTAACGGGTTTAACTTTTTAGGGGCTCTACGTTGACTCCACTGGGCTTAACAGGCACATCGGTGTTGTTATGTATATAGGCGAGAGCGGCGCCGACACCAATGCGACCGTGCTAGGTGGGTAAGTATACGTCAAAAAAGTTGTAGTGCTTGCTCATTTCTTTGTCGCTGTTCTATTCTTGGTTTCGCCAATGAGGTCTGCTGTAGGGATGCTTCAATGCTGGTGACGCATTAGATACTGCCAAGCCTATGCCTCTACAAATATTGTCAGGAGAAGCCTGTGGGCTTAGACTTCTGAACTTTCCATAATACGTTCTTCGTTTCTTTTTTTTTTTT